GGATGTACGGTACAGCAGCCTTCCCTTCCCTTCCCTTCCCTTCCCTTCCCTTCTTTTATTTTTATTTTTGTAAACACTCTCTATCCTTCACTATCCCACCTATTTTTAATCCTTATAGTACTGATTTTGTGCATTAAAAAAAACCCCAAACCATAACCAGTGAAGAACATATGAGCATATGTGTGTGTGTGTGTGTTAAACCATCCTCTGTTTGCCTAAAAAGACTTTGAGGAAAGTAAGTGAAATTTAAATATTTTTAATGAGAAAAAATCAGAAAAGTGTCTGAAATATGAATTTAATGGATACCTTGGTGGCATGTACAATTTAAAGAGAGAAGGGATTAGGAGTCTGTGTCCTTATATCTAAGCACGTGCTTGACTTAAAACCTGAGAAATATTTGTGAGAAATCAAATATCTGTTTAAGATCCAACTCTACTTTCCTATCTCCAAATCTCTTGCTTGTTCATTGCTGTGGTCCTAGGATGGGAGGATCTATGGATGCCAGTCCCAGTGTAGGTTAATGCAAAACCCTCAAGATTATTGCATCTCATTACATTCATTGAAAACAACAAGAAAAGCCCTTCCAGGGATGCCAAGAAGTTGGCCGCATTTTACTCAGTTAATCAATAACAAATAAGCCTGCTCTTAGTTCTTTATTTTATTGAAGTTGAATTTGGTTTAATAATTAACTCAATGCATATTAGCCAGTTTGATTTTTTTTTTTTTTAATATTGATTTGGGGTACTTTCCTAATGTGCTTGTAAGCTCCCTTATTGCAGCAGTTCTGGGTAGAGAATTAAATTTCTGTGCACTTTTGCACAGTGCACTTTCACACTGTGGACTCACACTGAGAATCCATTATCATTTATTTTGTGATTCCTTCTAGCTGATCTATCAAAGCAGATGATGTTTCCTCCCAAGTGTGTACCGATGTACTGTAGACGGTAGGACTTTGCAGCACTTTGGATTTGATTCCAAGAAGGTGTTTCAAAACAAGGTCCCAGGAATAATCTGGCTACTCTTAAGACTTGTAGACTGGAGCTGTGTTTGGGCTGTCTGTGGCCAAAACATCTTTATGGAACTGAACCTGAATCATTGCACAGTCCTAACAGTCATTCCCAACCCGGTGTCCTCCAGTTATAGAGAGACAGCTACCCTGAAACTGTCATCCAACATACCTGGAAGCATTCATATTAGGGAAGGTTGATATGAATGTACTAGTACTTAGTATAGGCAATAGTGTAGCATTCCCCCACCACTGTCACATACAGGATTCAGGTTTTAGCATATGTTGGAAACCATGAGAAAACAGTTATGTCCATATCGTGTGAAAGCTAAATCCTTTGCTTTGGGTTGATAAAAATACTCGCATGGCTAGGGCTCGGGCAATCCAGTCAGGCTTTTTTTTTTTTTTTTTATATGCCTTTCCCACATGCCTTGACATTTATTTGCCGGAATATAAATCCTGTCAATTAGCAGCACAAAAGTCAGGCATAACTACTTTTTTGTTGTCTAAATCACTGTGTTATTTTCAGAAGGCATGTCCTCAAAGCCTTTAAAAATCTCTCACCATAGCAAATATAGCATATCTCCTCCACTTAAGAGATGCAATTCCTATGCAGCAATTTAGATCATTGTCTAATTTTGGAGTTGGTCTCAGTTTTTTCACTGGGTAAAATAATGAAGCTTATCTAACAGGCTGTATTTTTGACAGCATAAAGACAGGCATTTGATTTATTTTTAGCTTTAATTTGCTTGTGTTAATCTAAAGCACTTTGCATGACAACAGCTGTTTTTTGGGGAAATCGTTTACTTCTCTAGTATATGCTTTGGTTTTTTTTCCAGAATAAGTAAAAACCGCTATTACTTTTGATGACTGGAAAAATCATGCATTATTTAAGTTTCACATCAATTTAAGAAAGACCTGGTGCCCTACTCCCCATTCCTGGAATTTAGGAATTCATGCAGTCTGAGGGAGAGAAGGCTTGCTGATCAGAAAGTGAGAATGCCATCTCAGAAAGGCTGCCTACATGGATCGAAATCCATCTGATTTAGATTTATAAGGAAGATTTTCAGGCCTTCCCAGCCAATGCATGAAAAGTCACCAAGGGCATGAGCATGGCCTCACACTTTCCTGTTAATGCAATCAGAGTCGTATGTAGATTAAATTAGTGTTTCTCAACCCCATCAACTTTAAGATGCATGGACTTCAACTCCCAGAATTCCCCAGGCAGCATGTTGGTTGGGGAATTCTGGCAGTTGAGGTCCACACATCTTAAAGTTGCTGAGGCTGAGAAACACTGGGTTAAATGCTTGAATAGGGTTCCCCAGATCTTCAGATGCGGATGTGTTTGAATTAGTTCTTAATCAGTTCTTCACTCCCATCCTAAGTGAGTTTTAAACTCTTAAGGACATGCCTGAATTTGTTTACGTTCAATTTTTCATCATCAAACAGCATGGGTTTTAAAATAGTCAGGACATTAATCTCTCTGTGAAGTGCCAACATCTAATGCACACTTTGACAGGGCCATTTTAGTGGTGGTGTCTAATTATTGGAAATCATTACCATGGGAATCCCACTGAGTATCTTTCATGTTAATTTCAAGTTGACAGGTGAAGACCTTTCTGTTTACATAGTTTTCAGCCTGCTATGATTATTGATCTCTGCAGTTGGTTTTCATTCTATTATGTTGGTTGCTGCTTTTTAACTTGTTCTTGTTTTCAATCTGCTTGATTAATTTGTTGTTTTCTTACATTTTTGCGATGTGCTCAATTTAGACTTATAAACCTGGGATACAAGATTTGGACTACAAAGCTCTGGACACTCATGAGATGGCAATTCAGAGACCCAGAAAACTATTTCTTTGCTACAATCTAATGGTTGTCCAGAGGCTTGCCGTGAAACCTATAGCATTTAATAAACTTTTATCCTATTCACGATCACGTTAATGCATGCCAAGGTATGATGTATGTATCAGATGGGGGCAGAAAAGTATAATTGTGGAAAAGAAGAATGTAAAGGAAAAGCCATCTAAACAGGGTCGAAAACAACATATCATGTAAGCTACCAGTCAATGAATTAACAAGCACATACTTAAGATGTGAACTTGAAAAACAAACAATTTGAACCAAAGTCATATTTACATTGATTAATATTCTAAAATATATCTGAAAAAGAGTTTTGCTCTAGCAACCAATGCTTTAAATTGGTTTATTTATAATTCTTTGTGTACAAAATGAACAAGCTGTATAATTCTATAAATGGTTTTAGCAAGTCCTGACAGAAATCCATAATTTACAGGAAGAATATAAAGAATCTATTTTTATCTTGCTTATTAATACTCAGTAGCCTGCATATGAGCAAGAATTGCTCTAAAAGTCTCTTGGCAAAACTTCAAAATATCTCAAACATAAATCAAAAATCTATGGAATCTGCAAAATCTATTTATTTTACATATGAACAGTGGTGTTATGGATTTCAGAATGCATCTTATTTCTAGATCAAAAACTGAGTTGGGCATTTCTGAGCTAAGGCATTCTTCCCCAATATAGTAATATAGTGGTAAGATAAGTTTCTCCATCAACCCAAGGCAGCATGGCTATTGGCTATCTTGGCTGGGAAAGATGGGAGGTCAAGGCCAGTACATCTGAAAGCATCAAGTGGGGGAAGGCTAATCTGTGTATAACAACATGTAATTTTAAGATATAATCCTCTGTTCTGTTACCTGAAAGGAAATACCAATGAAACTTATAGTTGAATCAAAGTTGCACTTAAAAAAAACAACTTCTAAACCTATTGTACAAAGATTGAACTATATAAAATGCAGTTGCATAAGGTCACAGCTCAAATATTGTTGCATATGCATGTCAAACTATTTCTTAACAGGCAATTTCAAGCAAATTAAAAGGTCAAGACATTTGGAATCTGGGTAAATAAATGACATTTTTTTTATTTTCTTTTGTGATTAATCAATTATATTAAGGCTCTTTTTGAGTATCAGTGGGAAGTGAAAAGTCTTCCATGTCATTGAGAACTGTAGTATTTTTAAACTAAATTTAACTGAGACATGTCTTTTGGAACACAGCAATTGAATTAACAGAATTATAGAATGGACTTTTAAAATTTCTTAATCTGAATGTTTAATGGATGGAAATTGGGGAGGTAAAAAATGTCCCAAGTCCATTGCAACTTGCTAAGTTTCCCCCATCAAATCTGGCAAAATGTTTGGAATTCTGCAGCAAGTTTGTTCAGAATTCCAGTTGTTTTCACTTGTTCATTAAAGCTCAGTTTGGCAATGATAATTCTCCTGTAGAGGTAGATTTAAACCACCTTTTAGATTAGGTCACCTATGAGCCAGGAAGATTGTCTGGATACCTGAAGAATCTTTACATCCCAATATCAAGGGCATTGTCTAGTAAAAACAGTAGTTACATTTTGAGTGACAGGACTGAATCTCTCTTAAAATCTGTCAAAACAACAAAAGAGGTATTAGGCAGGTTATTTTATCTCAGAATATAATGGGGCACTTCCCAATTTCTGGGTGTTATCTGTAAGAATCAAGAATCACTACCTAGAGTTCAGATGTAGCCTGCTGATATTTTTGTCATATGGAAATCTCAGAAAAATATAAATTAAGTTTATTCAATAGATTTAAGATTCACTAAGAATATGACATAATTCATTCCTCCAAGAAGATGG